TGTTGTGCCCGCGTTACCTCTGCCTAGCCTGTACCCTGGAAACACGGCGTGTTCTCCCCACAGCAATACTGACTGAAGCCACGTTTGCGAGTGAAAAATCTTGGATCAGGACATCCCCGACCAGTTTGATTATGGAACATGGAACCAAACGCCCCACTACTACACACCTCCCAGGCCAGAGGTGACGCAGCGCTGTAGAGTGCCATTGTCTGACAGCTGGCCTTACCTTTCCTCATGAATATCAATGGGAGTTTTATTCTTGGCTTCAAAGAGAGCGTGACTGAGCCCAACATACCATACAGCTGAGCAAGTTGAGCAAGTGAGAAAACAATTTCATCACCCCGCGGACAACTGGTTTGGCTGAATAGAGAACTCACAAACTTCTGTCACACAGAGATGTCGCAGCAAAACCAAGGACATAGCAGCAGTGACCATACAAGAGTGTCAAAGAAATTAAATACAAGAAGGGAAGGGAAATGATGCTAAATGACCAAATCCTCTAAGGAGCAGAAGATAATGGAGAAACAGTAAAAATAAGAGTCAAAGGTAGAACTTCAGTTTCCTTTGAGACCAGGTTCTGATGTATGGTCACTGCAACGCAACTGGAGTAGCAGCATGACCCATTAGCACTTTGAGGGAAGTTAAATGTATGTATTTGTCCCTTTTGGTAACATACCCAATCTAATACTTGCTCGCTACGGTGGTGAGAGTAAAAGAGGAACATTCTTCTTTGCTTGATGCAGACATACCCTGTATACGTACCCTGTAACATCACTAATAGTAAACTCCATCCCAACCAGACCTGACACACACACACGCGCACGCACACACACAAACAAAATCTTGTATGTAAAAGAAAGCTATCAAAATGCAGAGCTTGCTTAAAACTTCATTTATTTGTAATGTAAGCCGAAGGAACTTAATCAACACAGAAATGCACTGCTAGGCCTCCTTGGGAGCTATAAACAATTGGTGCACTTGTCAAATAAAAAGACACAAGCAAGTAAATGATAAAGGTACAGAATTCTTTACACATACGCTCTTGTTGTGTACACACGCACGCACACACACACACACACACAAACACACAGAGAGCAGTTTCCAGTTTCCACCTCTAAGTGAAATGATAGCAAAGCTATCTAAGCCCACTTCATGATACGCAGGCAAATAGCCTAGAAAAACTCTCACATTATATAAATGATGCAACCAAATGCCTCCCTCTCTGGCAGTTCTTTGTTGTACAATGCGCACTGGTAGCCTGACACCTTCTTAAATGGCTTTGGGCTAAAAGGAGGTGCTCGGCAGCTCTTAACCTAAAGCCCCTATTTATCTATCTTCAACAAGTTCAAGTATAACGTAGCAAATTTAAAACCTGAATATTTGGCACTGATACAGCAAGGACTTGGTTACATGCTTAACGCGATGCATTGCGCTTGAGCCTACTGACCACACGGGCAAAATTCAGAGTATCAAACATTTGGTGGGTTAGGGCTTACATTCAAACAACCCGGGCACAGTTCTCTGGGCTGTACCCTGCTGTTTCTTCCTCAGCGTGACAGGTGATTCTTGTCCTTGGTTATCAATACATTCTGTGTGCTGGAGCTTCTATTCCCTTAAAGAAAACTATTCTGCTTTCCCCCTCCATGTTATGATGACACTGCTCAAGGTGTTGCATTAGCAAAGGTGTTTTGGTTACATTATACCATTGGAAATAACTAAAATACATGAGGAAGGGGAAATGAGGATATAAAGTCTATATAAGTATTTACACACCCCATTATTAAAATAAATGAAGGCTAATTAACCACAAGTATGAAATACGAAATGAATGAAAACTCGTTTCTAAGTAAGATTAAGATTAGAATCCACTACTGTTAAAACCAAAATATAACATGGTTTTGGAAGCTGTAATAAAATATAAATTAATAATTCTAACAACAACAACAAAAAAAATCAGTGTTACATAATTGTTTTAAAACACTTTGGAGAGCTCAAATTATAGCTTTTTTTCCTCAGAAAAAGCACAGCAGGGAGGAACCTCCCCCATTCTTCCTGCAAGCTGATATTACATTAACAAAAGTCTTCATGTTAAAGCACATACTTCATATATTTTAATAGCTGTTAAGAACATAACACAGTTTTTCCTAAATCTAACGTAGCACCTCCTGTAAACATAAAAAGCACTGTTTCAACCTCTAATCATTTTATATGCAATAATGCCTTTGTTTTGTAATGAATGCCATTCCTTCATTTTAATGTGCCCATAGTTGCAGGGTTCTGCTGAATCATAGCTTACACAATCTCAGCCTCCCAAACTTCAGAGGCTTAGCACCAGAGTTGCAACTGTCTGGGCAGTGAGACTTCTGCTCCACCGCTTTCTGTGCCTTGTAGATAGCATAGAAATGAGGAATTCAGAGTGCCCAGCACGCGCCTCATCTATCCTCGTTTGACCTAGTCAGCTTTACCCTGACACTTAATGAAGATTTAAAAGCAAGCTAATATTTTTTACAAAGTTCTCAGCATTGCTAGCCTAAAAGGTTTACCTGTTGTATGTTAGGCTTACATTATCTTAAACTTTTTAAAACAGCATGCTGAATTTTTCCTTTCATTGCCTTCTGGTTCTCAAGTCTTCAAGGTTCATTTGGGTTACATTTTCACACTTTTCTCCGTAGCTAGAAATGTATTGTTCTTTTCAAGTGGCAACTAAAACTTCAGTTAAAATAGAAAATACTAAGGCAAGTTGCGAGAGACAGGAACGTCTACACTTACGTTTAAATGCCTTTCTGGGTCCCACTAGGAAATGCCGGGCTTTCAGTCGGAATAGATGCAGAGCTGCCTCTGTCCTTTGCATGTCAATTTACACTTATGTGGCAAAGACTGCAAGATAACGGATCCCAGTCAGAAACATGCACAAACTGTTGATTAGAATTTGCAGCACACAGAGGCGCAAACAACAGACATTTCTGTTTGTCTGTCACACCTGTGAGGACTAGCACAGACCAGCAGTGAAATTGCTAGGACCGAGACCGTATGCCCCTTATTCCGAGCCTCTGTCTTAACACCTCCTCTCCTCAGATGACTCTGTGGTGATGCTGTTGGCCATGTTGTGTCATTCACACAGCACGCTTACGGATGTGTCACAGACATTTTCACACTCTAGTGTTTGGAAAAACTTTGTTGGCACTTCATCCTGTGTACAGCCTGTTTATCTGGCAGCCTGAGATGCCAGCAAGGCCTGTATTTTCTCTCCTCTCATGCGCTGCCACACAAGGAGAGAGGAACGTGCAAGCTAAAAGGACTTTCTCTTGGAGACTGTTTTCTTATGCAACTGTGCATCAGTCCTGACTGGATAGGGTAGAAACCCTCAAAACTGCAATTCTTCAGAAATCCTACTTTTTAAGTTAGGAAACATATCCTTTCCCTCATCCACACCCCCCAAATATTTATCTCTAATAAATGTATGTTACACATACAAGATATGCAATCTGTATCAGTCTTCCTTTCATCAGAGAAAAGCTTCACGTATCTCACCCTCCTCACCCCTCTCCTACTTTGCCTATTAGATATAAAAGTGAGTAGTCCCAAGTAATGGCTGATTATTTTTGCTGAACAGACCTGAAAAGTAAGATCATTTTCTCTGCCGTTTTCTTTAAGCACTCACCTACACACACCCCTCAGGGCTTACACTTAGAAAATGCCCTGTGGGAGTCTGCTCTTGTATCACTGCTCTTCAAGAGCATCCTCACTTTCAATTCCCCGGTGACTTGTCCCAAGCACCTTTCAGCTGCTGCGAGTTTTAATAAGTTCCTGTCTGTGCACATCCTAAGATGAACATCACACTTTCGAAATCTAAACTAAATGAGGTATTTTAAATAAACATCAAAGCCATCTTGTATCCTCTTTCACTTTGAGGCTATTCATTATGATCCTAGCATTAAACACTCTACTTCCAGGAATGAAAGTGCCAGGCAGAAACACATTTCTGTGCCCCAGGTTTCTGGGGAAGCAGAAAAGGGGTGGGTCAGAGGCAGCATTCTCAGTCTCCCAACACAGGGATGGAAGAACAGTTCTCAGTGGCATACTATTGTTACTGTGCAGTAAATAGCGATTAAAGAGTATTATTTAAAAAGGAAAACAGATCAACAGTACCTGGTTTTGTACTCTTCATTCATAATATTCTTGGACTGTGTCTAATGTAATTAGTATTACCAAGTTAGGGAATACATTCTTAAAACTGTAAGGGACTGGAGGGGAAGAACATGACTCTGCTCCACGCAAGGAAGGATTCTCTTTCTGTTTTCCATTAACTGTGCAGGTACCACAGCTTCCACTGCATCCCACTCCCATTTCTTGTACACTGTTTTCCTATTTATGCTGTAATTATTTTCCTTCTAATTCCTTCATGAGAAGCCCTCAAAAAACTACTGAAGAGCAGAGAGGGAAAATGACAATCACTAGACAAAAAGTGCTGTAAAATACAAACTAAATAGGCACTTCTATTCCGCTAATCTCTTTAAGTAAGGGAAATCTTAGTCCTACATGTGAAGAATAGCAGGTAATATAACTTCAGACAGAAGTGCAATTTTAAGCAAATACTTTCCCTTTACTATAGTACATTTCAACTCATCCTATCACAAGAGTCATCTTTTCTGTAATTCACCATTGTCATTACAGTCAAGAATATCTGCCCTATCATTTCAAGAGTTATATTCCCTATATGTTACACAGCTCATACCGTAACTTTGTTAAGCCTAAGATCTGTACAAGCTTTTGCACAACTTCAAAAACAGTTACAGTGAATAGAGCTGTTCTTAAACAAATAACCAAACGAAACTCATCAAATAAAAGGGAGAATCATCAACTCTCCCTGTTGCAACCAAGAGAAATGTAGGAAGAGAACAAAAGGCCTAAGAAAGGGCAGTTTAGGTAGACTTCTTGGATTTCTTCTGGTTTTGTAATTTCAGGGGTTATTAGGAAATTGGATAAGGAAAGTATTTTAAGTCCGAGGTTCAGTAAAAGAGGTCATATTCTTCATTTATATGCTTCATGAGATGGGGGTGCAAGAACGAAAAACTCTGCATAAAAATATAGCTACATTTAGTATCTGTGGTTGGCTCCCAAGTAGACAATGACACGATTTTCATACACCTTCTTCATAGTTTTCTCAATTTGCTTCAAAAATACTTGTGGAATTCTCCCACATAAAGTGTGCACTGTATCCAGAAACTTAGACTGCAGAGGGTAGTACAAAGACTGGAAGAGATTGTCTTCAAATGGAAACTAAAGAAAAGAAAAAAAGAATTGTTAGTTTTCACTAGTTACAAAACGGCATTTTAGAAGTTTCTGTAAGATAAAACCTTACACAGGTAGGCAGTGACCTGTCCCTCACCTTCCCAGCGTGTCATCAAAGCCTATCAACTTCAAACACTGGTCTGCTTGAGAGTGCTCGCTTTCAGAAAAGTTTGTCTGGGTGTATTAACCTGAAATAGCCAACTTCCCAGAAACTGTATTTCTAGAGTCTGTATTTAAAGGAGGTTTACTAACATGGGGATACTGTAACAAAAGAGTTATTTTAGAGAGTGGAGTTGCACACATACAACGTTCAAAGTGGAAATATGGACCCGTGTCTGTATGCAAGCTCCTGCCTTCCATGCGCCCAGAGGCGCTAGGTGCTCAGGGAGGACAAGCTTTCACGGGGTATTTATGGACCAGAGCTGCAGTACCAGCAGGAAGAACTCCAGTCAAACACTTTCTTTCCCCTCCAGTATTATAGAAAAGCCATTTATCAGACTTTTTGATTAGAAGTTTACTATAATATGAAGGAGGATCATTTAAATCACCTCAAATACACACATGCTGTAAGATAGGAGAGGCCAAAGCAACCTTGTTATTTTGTGTCTGATGGGTATCCATAAAGCACAACTATGCTCAGCCTGATCTGCTGGAATAGCGATCCGAGTGACCCGGTTAAAGCAGTAATCTACATTGCACTAAAAGGACTGCCTCTATCGAGATAGAAGACTTACATCACGTATCACTTCATAGAGTGCCTTGAATGTAGGCTGTTTGTCGTCATGGTAGACACCTCTATTTCCATGCAGAATAGAGACACCTTCTTCTTCTGCACCTTTACAGTTGCTCCCGTACATACAGTGGTCAGGCCGGTAGTTCCACTGACATGGAAACACATAGAGGCACTCTGCCAACATCAGTCAGGGGAGACGGGGTGGGGGAAAACAAAGAAGAAAAAAGGCACGTCAAACAAGCATTACAACAAATTAAACCATGTTGCTGTGAAAAAGCTGGGACTGACAATCAGAAAAAAATTCAGTTACTTCTTTTGCAAATATCCCAAGCAGCAGCTAGATATAGAAGCTTCCTTTCCTTAGGGGATAACTATACATATCTCAGCACTGTTAGACCTGAACTAAGAGAAAGAGAGGGCAACACAAAGACTGGGTGCAAACATAAACCAAGAGAGCATTTTACAAAGCTAAAAGTGACAGTCAAACCCAGCGAGTGTGCACCAGGTGGCACTATCCAGGGTCCTCTGCCCTAGTAAGAGGTTTCCGGAGTTACAGAAATGACTAGGGAAGCACACGCAGCAGCGAGGGTTATGCAAAATCCTGAATCCTTCTGGAGACAGCATGGGAAAGCTTGTGAAGTATATTCAATGTTTGCTGCTGAAGCCTTCACTGAGGCTATGACAGATTGTTATACTGAGATACAGGAGAGTATAAGAGGTAGTGTATTTTGTGCACAGTCCTTCTAAGGGTTGTCATCCATTAATTTCACAGGTCCAGGTTATTTAAAGATAAGCCTAATCTCTCAAAAGGGCTTGTAACCTCCTTTCTCCTACCAATTCTTTTTTTTTTTAAAAAACTTTATGCACCCACAGTATTTGCAATAAGCTTATAATAAATCACAGCAGTCCCTGTGACCCTTTTTGCTTCAGAAATGGAGTACAATGAATCCCTGCACTATGCCAGCCGGTCATGTCAGAAGCACTGAAGATGGAATTCTTCACTTGGTCTTTCTTAGCTTCCCAGGAAGTCTGCAGCTGGTCCTGTGTGGTTCCTGAAGAAGTAGGAGAAAAAGTTTCTGAAATGTTTCTTCCCTTAAGGCCTCTCTAGCAGGAGCCTTCTCCAGAAAGCGTGGATTGTAAGAGGTTTCCATTCAGTCTGATCTATCACACATTCCAAATTGCTCCCCAGTGTTGCTGAAAGGGCAGGAAGAGCTGGAACGCCTGATCCAAACCCTGTTACAGTTAATGGGGATCCTTTCGGTAACCTTGAACAGATGTTTTCAAGTACAGCTCATCAGCAGGTCACTATGGGGAGAGGATGTCATCAGGTGCTTATTAGCTTTCGTACACATCACTTGAGTATTCTTGATCTTCTCCTCACCGTGACACATTTGTGCATTTTTTGCTGTCACAGCTGGACTCAAACTCTAGCTGCTCTGCGAGCCTCCAGATCCATTAATCATCACAACAGCCTTCAGAGATGAGGAAAAAGGTGCCTCTCTTGAGTCTCAACGTGGATTTGATAGAGAATGCTCTCATCACAAAATCAAAATATTTTTGCAGTCTTTGTTTTTGTCCTCCACGCTTCAGTTAGTGACTTGAATTCGACTTCACAACTTACCTGGCTTCACCTTTTTCTTCCTCCAGTAGATCCTATTCCCATTAACATTAATTTCTTTTTGGAAATTAATTCATGATTTCATAATGAAGATTTCTTCCACTTTATTTTTTCCCTAGGATTGAGGGTAATACATGGTGTACCAGGGACACTGATGTTTGACATCTGTCTGCAGTAAACAGATGTTAGCTTATTGCTTTGCTTTTGTTCTCTCATTTGCCTGGATTTGGGTATATCCAATTACCTACCCTATGACTCCTTAGAGAAAAAGGAAAGGGAACAGAATAAATAAGGATCAATCCAAACTTACTCTGTTCTTAAGGTCACTCGAGGGAATACAAAGTCACATAGGAAACAAGGAAAAGCAAGTAAGAATGGATACTCGACATATTCAGAAGCATGAAATAAGGTTCTCGGCTTCTTTGGGAAGCACATACTATGCTACAATTTTGAAATCCTTGCATTTCTCAGATGTTACTGTTTCTGGAAGTGCCTGAAGTCATTTCTGTGTGATCAGTGCCAAACACTCACAAGGGGATGAATTTCCAGAAACCTTCTCAGCACTTGTGGAAAAAGTCACACCCTTTTAAAAAAACAGAGACCTAAACTTGCCAGTTTCTTGGGAAATACACGCTCACGAGAATACGACTCCAATTCAAGAGGAAATCAAGGACAAACCAAAAATGTTACAAGCTGCTTACGGAGGCATTGTGCAAGACTGACGGGCAGGAATCAGATGCAACACTTTGCTGGGCTGACAAGTACATACGTATCGGTCACGCTGGTCCGCACTAGGACAGGTGGGTTATGCCGTCTGCTCTCTGAGAACAAGGTTTTGAGAGACTTGAAGCCCTCCATAGCTCCTTATAGTCCCAGAGCAAAAAGAATACAGAAGAGTAGAAAATGCACAAATCTGAACGGCAACATCCAGACGACACCGTCCTGGTGCCTGCTGAGGTTGGACCATTCAGCTGAGAGGCTGGAAGCATCGTTCTCAAAAAGTAACTTTTAGTGGAGGAGCAAAGTAGGGAGGGCAACAGTTTCAGAGGAGGTATTTCAATGGCTGTGTCCATTTTCTGTTTCTATTAGCTTTGTTCCTCATTTGCATAAATATCAGAATTGAGCTGAATTTCGGAAAAATAGGGCATAGCTTTGCAGGAAGATTAGCAATTTCACATTCAGATAAACATCTGAAACAAAAACATCTTTTCAGCTAGGCCCTGGTCTAGTGACGCTCTTAAGCACACATACAACTTGAACTTCATTCCTGCATTTGATCATTAATGTTACACTTCCTGATTTTCACAGAATCTCCAGCAAGCAGATTTACATCTTCAATGGAATCAAGTCCGAGCCCCACTACCTGCACCACTTTCAGAAGTATTTTCATAGGTTGTAAATCCTAGGTGCACTTACACATTAACTTCATGCCAGAGCACACTGTGTGTATTATAAATAACAAATAGCACTTTTTTTTTTTCCAAGTTCAAGAAATTTTCTTAACACAGATAATCATTACTCCAAGCATCATTACTTACCTGGGTTAAAGTAAAAAATTATATTTAGTAAATCCTGGTCTCCCCATGTAATGTAATTTTTGTACTTTTGGTATAACGGATATAGCATTTCCTCCCAAGTCAAACCACTTGGTATCATGCTGTTCTGCAGGGCAGAAAAACAGAAGCAGTGGGTTAATACCGTGAACAGCGATGTGATATATGACTCAGCATGTGGCACCCACATATTTGTAAGTCTGCTAAGCCATGTCAGATGCCTAGGTGAAAAATGAAGAACTGCCAGGGAATGTTAGACCTAGACAGGGTTTGAACAGCAGAGCTGACTGCTCCTGTTTGTCTAAACAGGAAAGCAAGGTCTCCTGGGTCTAGCTCTGATGTCAGCTCCTGCTATTCACAACCTTCCTATTCTGAGCAACAGGAGGGAGAAAAAGTAGAAAAGTGGGAAAATGCAAAAATGCAGGGACAAGGTGAAAACTGAGGTATAACAGCCAGGAAAAATGCAGACTAAAAATTATCTTCCCTGGGAATTATGATATTAAGAGCAAGGGCTTTTTTTTATTCAAGCTGTTCCTGTAACAGTATAGGAAACCCCTGGTATTGACTGAGGAACAAGACCACTTGGGGTAAAGTTTTTAAAGAGATTAGAGAATATGTGCTCAATGAAACAAATAGAGATTTTACAAGTTAGGCCTTTCACAAAGAGGGGAGATGTCAGATGTCAGTGAAAATGTTCCCTTCTCATTTATGTCACTTCATGGAGTCTCTTGATCTGCAGCAGGATACAAAATTCTATTTACAGCAGATGCAAAAAATTACCAATTTCTTTGGATATTTACATCAACTTTTCCAATTTTAAAATCAATACAGTGACTGCACTGAAGATCCTTATCCTTGAGTTTATTCTTTCACGTATCTTTCAATGGAAAGTGAAATGTTGAAGAAGCCATTTTTACTACTGCTAAGAGACTGCTTCATCTGCAAGTTCCAGCATCTTCAGGAAGTTTCACTTGTTTTAATAATCATTTTCACTATAATTGCTTTTAGTATGCAATTATATATATTCTATATTTTTCAGATTCTTTGTATTACAAACGTTATATAATTTTATGCTAAGTTTTACAAGATGTGAAAAATACATAAATCATTAGTTTCGGCAACAGCTGTATTTCTCCTCACCTTGAACTGAGTGTTGCGTATCCGTGTTAAATTCATTAGCATCACCCCAGAATTGACTCCAGTTGTCCCATAATAAGGGTGACGCGCAAATCGACTATACCAGCCAATCTTTGGTATTTCGTGTTCTGGGGCCATAGCAGCTAGCTGTGTTGAGTTGAACTCTTTCAGGATGTGCCAGATGTCATCGATGGGCCTCAGGAAGAGAACATCTGTGTCCACATAAAGGAGAGAATCCACGTCCTTTAAAATAACCTTTTGGGTTTGCACAGTGAGGAGAAGAGGAGACAAAAAAGAAACCAAACAGACAACAAAAAGGAAGATTATTGGCAAAAGGCACTCTTATTTTAAACTGATAATTTGCAAGAGGTTATTGATTTATCAGCTGAATGTAATTACACACAGCACAACAGTTATCAGGTTATTGGGTTTTGTTTGTTTTGGTGTGTTGGTTTTTTTTTTAAACTGCACAGCAAAACAGCTACCAGACCACAGGAGTCGGATTCTAACCTTCGTATTAAACAGTAATCCACTGAGCTCTCAAAAATACCTGCAAGGACTATCAGTTAGTATCAGTTCAGAAATAAAATGCAAAGAATATATATTTACATAGCTTTGTTAGCTCTTTTCAAGACCTGTAAGTGGTGAAACACATAGCTTCCTCCATAGACAGAAAGGGTGAGCTAGTATAACAGAATACTTTTCATCTCCACTTGGTATCATGTTTCCTTGTGCCTTTCTAATGACTGTTTTTCCTATGACAACCTTGTGCTCCTAGGAGACTTATATTCAGTATTAATATATACAAATGTTTTGCATTAATTAAGAAAACCCTACCAATCACAAAAATGTATATGCATCCTCATGAAGAACAAAATTTGCTTGGTAAATAGAAATGTTGTATTAAAACTTATCAGGTCAGATTCTGATCTCTGTTATCAGACTCTGTATCAGGAATAACCACAGTAAAGTTAGATAAGCCAGAAGGGTGTAAACTGTAAATTAGATCCAGGATATTTAATCTATTCTTGTTGACAATGTCCCCCCTTGTGGCTATCCAAATCCTTACATGCTCATTCATTAATTTTAGTAGGGCAAATTGTATAGTGCTTCAGCAGTCCAAGAAAACTCCCTCTATGTTTGCACCAGCTATTTGTAAGGTTGCTTGTTAAGTAATAAATATCATTAGCTGAAGTTGACCTTCAGTTCCACCTGCATTTTTGTTGCTCTTCTTCATTGTTTGCCACAACTGTCCAAAAATTCCTGAAGGACTGAAATTTTCTTACTTTGGGCTCAGCCAAAAGCCCTATTTCTCTTTCTTTCCTTCTTTGAAAAGCAAATCCAAAAGGCTATTGCTTTTCAGCATGCCATGGAACAGAACAATCACTCATCCAATTGCAACGATACTAATGACAAACTCTCCTATTTATGCCAGTAACAATAAATTCTACTAAAGAAACTGAATTTTATGTAAATTGAAATGTATTGTGACTGAAGATTATCTGTGAAAGAGAGTGAACAACATTAAGATTTTGAACAAGTGGGGGGAAAAACTACATTTAAGCATGCTCAACAGGCATCCACTAAGATGCCAAATCCATGAGTATGGACTTAAATGAGATTTTTCACCTGACTGAACACTTCAGGATTCAGACTGACATTTAGCCAGGTTTAACAAATCCCTGACCTGTATTTCTGACATGATAACTACATGTTCTCCCTGCACAGCAGGACAAGCAGAAGGCAAGCATCTCTACATTTTAAACAAAAGTCATGCTTACAAGAAACTCCATGTAAACAAGTCCAACACAATCCAGATCACTCTGCTGATGGAGGGTTATAGCAATACACCATTTTTCCACAAAAAGTACAAAACAGCATGTGAAGGTATCAATAAATGAGTGACACAAATAGTTCAGTAACACAGTAAGAGCTCAAAGGCAAATATTTGCAAACGTTAAGTATCCTGGAGTCCAATACTAAAAAAAAAAACCCAACAAGTAAAAAAAGACAGCTACTTTAAGAGTAAATCAATAGAAGACAGACAGTTGAAAAGAAGAAAGGGCTTTTCAGCTTAAGGATATCCTGGATATTGTACATTATTCTTTAGCACCTGTAAGCCCCAATTCATAGGGACCTACTATACAAAGTCATATAAAATCAAAATATATTAAAAAAAAAAAAACACCCCAAAATTTAGTCTGAGACAGGAGATAACACATGAATACAAAGAGAGCAGAAGCTATTAGATTTTGCCTGAGGGATCCACAGCACACCATATATGACATTTTTTTTTAAGGGTACCCTGGCAGAGAGACAAGTTCAGGCATTTTCCAGCAGTGAGTTAAAGGGGAAGTTTAACGGGTGCACATAGACACTCCTCCCAGGCATAAGTGGCAGCCCGGGCACCGCTTCTTCCAGCAGAAAACTGGTCTTTCAGCAACCTTAAATATACACATAAATTTAAGTGTGTGGAAGTCAATGGACTGTAATAATTTTCCTATATATAAACAGATTCAAGCAGGTATTCCAGTTCTTTGGGAAGTGGGTGCCTACCAGCATGTGACCCCACGCTTTCCGCCTGGTATTCCTCCACTCAGGATTCACACGCTCTCTTTTCTGGTTTTGTCAAAAGATTCTTCCCTCTCCTGTGTCCGAGGTGTTGCCCTGCAGTGACACCCAACAGGCTAAAAGAAAAGCTGTGCTACTTCCTTTAAGCTGTTCACACTTTTCCCTTTGACATGTAAAGTGTTAAGACTTATTTAAAACCCACACATGTCAGTCTGAATTGATCACATCCCCTTCTGGCTGTGCATTTAACTTCGCCTTGGGTAGGGGAATTTAATTTCAGAAATTGTGGCTGTAAGAGTTCATTGCATAGCTCCCAGGATTTCAATGGAGTTACACTGGGGATAAACCTCATTTAAATAACTCTGTGTCCTGGTTTTGGCTGGGATAGAGTTAATTTTCTTCCTAGTAGCTGGCATAGTGCTGCGTTTTGGATTTAGGATGAGAATAATGCTGATAACACACTGATGTTTTAGTTGTTGCTCAGCAGTGCTTACACCAGTCAAGGACTTTTCAGCTTCCCATGCCCTGCCAGGTGCACAAGAAGCTGGGAGGCGGCACAGCCAGGCCAGCTGCCCAAAACTGGCCAAAGGGCTATTCCATACCATATGGCGTCATGGGCACTATAGAAACTGGGGGGAGCTGGCTGGGGGGCAGTGATCGCTGCTCAGGGATGGGCTGTGCATCAGTTGGCAGGTGGTGAGCAACTGCATTGTGCATCCCTTGTTTTGTATATTCTTTTCTCATTATTATTATCATTATTATTTTCTCTTCCTCTGCTGTCCTATTAAACTGTCTTTATCTCAACTCACAGGTTTTACTTTTTTTTTTCCCCCAATTCTCTCCCCCATCCCACCAGGGTGGGGAGGAGGTGAGTGAGTGGCTGCATGGTGCTTAGTTATTAAGTATTAAACCACGACACTCCGGCATTCCCAATGTCAGCTTTCAGGTAGCTCTGTTCCCAAACTAAATAAGAGTTTTCAAAATAATTTTTTAGGCTTTACACAGCACTTAAAATAGTATTTAGTTTTTACTTATTCAAAAGCATAGAAGAGGAGATGATGGATTTTTGAGTCTGCTGATTTTCAATGTCAAAAGCAGCTGAGCAGCAGAAGGCAAGCCTGTGGCACACAAGACCTTGCTCCAGCTTGCTCTGCCTGAACCAGGCGCTGCACAGCTAGGGCTGGCAGCACGCTGCGCCTGCCAGGAGGGCTAACCAGAGGGACATGACTGCAGGTTAAAAATGACATGCAGCTGACCTGGAGCATAAGCAGCGCAAGACTGCGTCTGGTAATCTGAGTTCATGCTTGCAAGCACAAAGCATGTAGACATACCTGACAGACTGTGATTTTTGAAACGAACGGTCAGGAATACGGCTTGACTGTGCTTATCTTCTTCCTCGCTCTACAGGCACTTACAGCTTAAGAGAAGTGTGATTTTTTTGCAGCTATATAGAGTGTTCTTAGTAAATCTGTCAAGAAGTTCTGCACAGAACTTGCTATATTTAGCCTGACACTTCACTTAAATACTCAATTATCTGTAATTTGATTTCACAACTTCTGTCTCCATAGATTCTCCCTGTGCTAGCAAGGTTGGCAAGTAATAACACACTACTGTGTAAACACATATTGGTGTGTTGTGAAGCTGTGCTACCTAATGGTTTGCAACAGCTAGCATGGCAGTTTTTCAGAGCTTTATCCAAAATTAGAGACAAATCACAAATCTTGATGCTAATGTAGCAGTACCATGAAGTTGAGTTACTAAACTTAATTGCAGAAAGCAATTAACTCAAGTTACAGCAGAGACAGACTATTCCCAGTGCTGCCACTGATCCACCGGGTTGGATACTTCAGCAGCATCCCCAAGAGGACACCTATAATACAGGGATATTGCTAAGCTACCTTAAAAGCTCTTAAGTAGATTAAGTGTTTTGAGAAGGGTTCTAAATGTTAGTTACTATTAGAACTAAAATCATCCAAAAATCCCTTAAGCATTTCATGATACTTTAGCTGATTGTTTTGGTAGCTCCAAAACAGCAATACAGAGACAGCTGCAAGCCAGCTCTGCGGTATGCAACATTCACGAGGCCAGGAGACAGTTTTTCACCTGGTGTCGTAACATCCATGTTAGTGTTACAAAACAGTTTCAAGTGATTGCTGAGAGCATTACCCTCCTAGTTCATTTTTAAAGTTTCATTTTGTGCTCACGTTAAGATCCACATCTTCCTTATTCTGCTTTTGCAAATCCCATTGATGGGTTTATTGTAGTAGACTGCAGCAAGAGATTTAGACTTGTGCGATTACATGGTGGCTCAATCTACTTTCCCTGTATATAAGTAGCAAACATATGATCAGATGTCACAGAATGCCTCTACAAAATGTAGGATGCTGTATGATCTTCCTTAATATTTTAGGAGCCTGAGCAGATTCAACAGGTTGGGAATGTGTAGATCAACCTGCTACCCAGGACAAAACAGTTCATTGCTACAAGCTGTAGGATCACATCCCATAGCTCTAGTTTTATCAGTGAGTAAAACCATTGAAAGATTCTGACACGATTTTCCCTTAACACATTCCTCCTCCCCTCCTGTCCACTTTCACATGCCTGCTGGTGCTGCAGGAGAAAGATTTCTTTGGCAGGAGAGGCACTTGTGAATCAAAGACTCACATTCCACTCGGGCTTAGCATTATCAGGAGCAAGACAATTTGCACAACTGAGGGCTAAACAGCTGATACACTCAACTACTGCTCTCCTCGGGTCCTCCCCAAATCCAGTCACATTTTATGCCACTGCAGGAGAAAATGCTTAGGACAGGGAAGGATAAGAAAAAAAAGGATACTGACATCCTGCCGGTATTTATTTAAAATACAAGTCAAAATAGTTCTCTAAACAATAACACTAGAAACCCTTCGCTCCTGTTGTGTGCAGGCTGGATTTCTACAGCGTTGTCTTGTTCAAAGGGGACCTCAGAACCCAGTTATCAAGCACCAATAAAAATAACGGTGCCTGAAATGACCCAGAAACAGCCTAAGGTTCTGCCAGGCTGCAAACTTGAGTACGAAAAGTCCAACTGGACACTTGCCACCTCAGCTACTACTACAACTTGTTGTCTTTATCCGTATCAACTTAGTGTCAGCTGCAACTCCTCTCGGACAACCCTTCCTATTCAAAGCCATAAACCTCAGCCTGACCACACACAACATTTTGCAATTGCCCCAAAAGAAACAAACATTTACAGTTCAGGCTGCCTCCTAGTTTTGCTGAGGCAACATGCAACAGTCTAATATTCCTTACAAGAAGTTACTGCAGAACTTCAGCAACAGGTGAGTGACAAAAAAGGAACCCAAAAAGCACTGCCCAGCCTAAAGGAATCAGCATGACTACATAACCCTTTTCTGTCACCAGAAAGGTGAGGACAAATAAAAGTGAAACCGTTTCTGTGATGAGTGTCTACCAAAATGACAAAAAATACCACAGAAATACGAAGGACAAAGAATTGTGTTTACCCAGTGAAAACAACCTCATTTGAGCACATCCTTACAAACAATCTGGATTGAACAAGCTAACGCTTAGGGATTATTTTCCAGGTGATATAAATATTTACCCAGGGAAGAGAGGATCAAGTTGGGAGTTACTTTCAGCCCATTCTGGCCTTTGTGCATTTGATAGTCTACCCCTAAATGGCAGATAAACAGAACTGCTGACAGCACATATTTTCTCACATATGTATTCATAGTCTATGTATCTGGACGTGCAGCTGTCTCCTGATTGTTTCCATCTGAGAAAGTAAAGATTTCTTTGTCCCTCCCATTTCTCGTAAGACAGAAATGAAGAAATCTGGATCATGTGAATAGCACGTCACTTTACTGGAGTCACACCAATCAACAGCAATGCATGAGGTATTTTTTTATATGGTCTCGATTCCACAGTAATTGCTTTATGCAAAAGTTCTTTCAATTCCTGATATTTCTGCATATGCAAAATTGTTATCAACACCTTCTTTCTCTCCAGCAACCTTAAATATTTTCCAAGTTTATGACACTGTATTGTACTTTAAAGAATACAAATTTTTAGTGAACCTGAAGATCCCAGGATACACAGGGCTCTTGCACGAAATCTGACTTTGAGCACACTGGAATTATTACCTTAAGGGCAAAATCTGACAGTCACGGAAAAAGAAATAAAACTCAAGGAAAAGGGATTGCTGAAAGCATCAGTCTAAGGGCTAACATATGGAAAGGGAGATAGTGGGTAAAGAGGATACGATGACTGCACGCTGAAAAGAATGTTATTTATGGAAGGCATGCAGCATCTACCCTGAAAGCATCTGCCCTGAATGAGCTCTCGCACTGAATCTTAAGAGTCTGAGAGGCTAATGGAACTAGAGACAAATAAGAAACACACATTCTTTGTTAGCAGGAGAAAAAGCGAGGCTGGATTTCTGTTTTGTTTTTTTAAGTGGCTAAAGCACAGATTAAAATATCTTTAAGCAGATGTTTCAGCCTGAAAATGGTTTTAATATTACACCAGCAAAGCTTCCTTTCTGTGGAATTAACCTTTTCCTGAAGCAACCTACTCAGAAATCCAGGTGCCTTACCGGAAGAAAAAGGCGCTGGGCAGCACATGGTTTGAATAACTTTTTCCATTCCTGAGCATTTCCTACTGAGAAGGTTATTGGGTAAATGTTGTATTCAAACTTCTTTGTATATGAGGAAGGCCATTGCTTTAACTGAAAGACATGGGGGGGAAGGAATTAGACACTACATGTCATATAGTTTTTTTTTAAAAAAATACGCATGCATAAGGAATTTATAAACCACATACAGTAGAAAAGTGCTTAGTTGCTACTTGTTGATTTCAATGTAATTTTGCTCAGAGATTTGCAGCTTATAATTAACTCATTTATTTACTTACCAAACGACAAAGAAACTCACCGTCTTCTCAAATTCAGGCTTAAGGGAATCCTCAGCAAAAATGTGAAAACAGAGCCTCCTGTTGCTAAAGAGAACTGCTGATTTCAGCATGATTAGCGTCTCTTCCAGCCGGTCCCCACATGCCACAACTGCCAGATGCATGCATTGCAAAGATGAAGGCTCTTTTGAATGTTTCTGTTCTCCAGGCTTCCTGAAAAATCATAAATAGGCATATAAAAAATACTGAGGTACACATGAAGAGAATACTGCATTAATAGATACCAGGGCTTTTTTCTTCCCCTTCATTATGTAGGGGATCAGGAGGGTTTTTTTCTGATTAGATATCCACAAAACATGCAAGTGTCATGCCAATTTTGTCAACGGTACAAATTAAGAGTGTTAAAATTACAACACAAAGAAATATGCTATTTTCAGAAATTTTCTGGTTATTCCTACATTTCTGGATTTGCATAAATCACTGCACTACATACGCAGAGGAAAATAATTCAACAGCACCTCAAACCAGACAGCTTGCTCCGTGCAAATGATAGCTTTTTTTCCCAGCTTAGAGGTTATGAAGCCAGAATGGACTTATTACTACCTAGCCAACTTTCTAACACAATGCGGATTACAGAACTACATCCAGTAACTTCATTACCAGGCCCGTAACTTTTGGCTAGACTGGAAGAAGACATCCATACTTTAAAAAAATCCACTCCATCCATATGTAAATTATACTAACAGTTAATTAATTTTGCTGTTAAAAATGCATGCCTTAATCCTGGCCTGAAGGTACTGGCATAGTTTCAAAGGACTGCTCTCCATTTCACCCAACGGAATCCCTGAGATTTTGCTAAAGTAGAGATTTTTAAAAACAAACATATTCACATGTCCCAGATGAATCAGACTATGATCCGCAAGCAGTCAAGGGCCAAACTATGTGGTTTTCACTTCGCACGCATCTGTGGAGGCTTTAAATAAATTTCAGCTAGACTATAGGGGAATCTGCGTGTAAAAGGCACACTGAAGCTACTTGCTAGCCAGAAAAATCGGGGTTCTTTTGGGGAGTTGAAGACATTTTGAAAATATGAGCTTTTGGTTTTGTGTGCCCCCCCCCCCCCCCCAACAGTATGGAGATAAAAATCACATCCTCCAGGAATGCTTCTACCGTATTGTGTTCACATTCCAACACGGATCGCGCTTATACTCTGTTAGATGGATGTGTGCTGACAAAGCAACTGAATTACAAGCATCGTAATCGTTATAGGAGAGTTCAAAAGGCTAATCATAGATCACTACCAGTTCTTGACATATCACTGAACAGAGGACATCAATCCCTGACTCTTCTCAGCACACACAATTACATATCTACAATTAATCCGTAAAGTTAATACTAGAAACAAAAGTTCTAAATCAAGAGAAAAATGACATTTAATAAAGCTGTCATTGTCTTCTTGCAGACATTAAAATGCTGCTCTAACAGCAGCATTCTGTACTACAGAGTAATCCACTTCTGTGTTAAGGAATACCAGCCAATGGTACTTTACTGACTATACAAAGCAACATGTTTCATTAAGGGTTTAAAGTCTTAGGCTTTAGTCTTAATTAAACCCCAATTTCATCAGTGTATAAATAATGGAATACTACATCTATGTGAAGTGGTATTTACTTTCCAACCTATTAGTGTAAAAACCACTGAATTATTGAAGTGAATAATTAGCTGCTCACACAGATCCCCTTTTCCCCCCTTCTCCCTATCTCTTTAATGTTTCCTCTTAATTGAGTCTCTAAATCAAGCCATATGCAGGATGAGAACTGCTTTGATATAGCTTGTGGCAATGGAATTCACTGGGAGAGGGACTAAACTCTAAGCTTTTATTGCAACATTTCAAAGCCCAACACCTTTTCTTTGCAAATTTTAGCCACGGTGAACTCTCCATTGTGCAGCTATTTTTGTAGTGAAAAATCCAGTATATGCAGACAAGCACTTCCAACGAACAGACTCGGCAGAAGCAACGCTTGATGAAAGCGGAACACCCCATAAGCCCCTGGGAGCTACGGATGAACAAGAGACATCCCGCCTGCCAACAGACACCCTCCCAGCCCCCGGGAGTGGAGGAGAAAGCTGAGCCTTGGAGATGAGTAATTATGAGTCGTGAAGACCTGGGCTGAAGGGGTTCAGGAGCCTGCAATGGCCTAAGAGGGACTAAAAATCCCTGAGAAAAGGACCACGAGGTAGTATTTGAACTACCTCAGCAGTGGTCCAGGACACTGAGGGCAACAGTTAGTGAGGAAAGTAGCAACAAGGTACAGAGGAATGTTGGGACACAACATTTTGCATCTTTTTTGTAAGTACGTATGGAAATCAAGAGGACTGTGAGAACAAAGGTGAGCTGGAAAGGCAGATACAAGAGTGCCATAGCAGGATGTATTTAACAGCAATTTCGGCTTAGCCTTTACAAAATTACTATTATTAGCCAGAAGTCTGAAAACAGGCAGCAGTAAAGGCAAAGACAAACTGCTAGGAAGGCAAACGAGCAGATGACAGGAGCAGATTACAGCAAAGAACATCATCGCAACTCCCCTTCCCTCCTCTGTTTATACATGCACGTACACACAGGGCAGGGAGGAAGGGAAGGGATGGTGAGACATAACATCTGGATGAAAGGATATTCCTTAAAGATCTGCAGGACACGGCCAATGTCTTCAAGCAAAACAGTTCCAGTTTGACCAACAGCATCTAGGATGCTTCTGCTTTACACAGAATAAACAGCTATGCGGGCTGATCTGGATCCCCTCTTGAAGATAAGAGGGCTTCCACCATGTGTTGTCAAGAGAGGAACTGGAGGTTAGAACTTAGCTCATACCAGTGGCGCAGCTACTTCTTTTCTACCAGGGGCAGGTCGGGCTGGGCACCAGGAGCCTTCTCATTCAGACAGACTTACTGCTTAATGGCAGGCCTTCTTTAAGCTGAGGTTTCATACAAGGTTTCATCATTCACACTCTGAATCCTGATTCCATACAGTGTATCTCCTCTAATTGCCAATGTTTATCATGTAGTTACCAGTGGTTGATGCAAAGATATTGGGAAGCTAAGAGTCTTCCCACACACTACCTGCTCAGATGTTACTAGACAACACAACAAAGGGAGTAGATGAAAGATGCAGACTTCGTTTTAAAGGATGGAGTATGATAACACTGTGGTAAATTGTACAAAGGATAAAATTTGTTACACAGAATAAAAAAACAGCTGGCAAGCAAGAAAGAATATATTGCTAGGTTATCAACCTAAGACATGAATAGGTTTTTGCCATAGAGAAGTATGCAGGTAGTTGTTGAAGGGTAAGCGAGCTCTGGTTTTGGCTCTGTTTCAGTAAGTCAGACCCTGCAAAGCTTCGGGTGAGTCATTAATTCTTTACGCATTAGTTGTCCTACCTGTAAAATGGGAACAGCTGTTACAGTCGTAATAGTTACCAACCTCAAGAGACTTCCAAGTGTGTTAAAAAGCACACAGACCCACAGAGTACTACAATTATTATTAGCCAATTCTTCCTAACATTTATACGCGCATTCATTCATTTGTAGACCAACTTATTGGTTATGGATAGAGTCTATAATTGGATTTTATAACCTAAATTAAATGTTTAAATGTATCTAAAACAATACAGAGACCTGGGCCTTAAAGTTTAATGTGTTTGACAAGAACAAATAAAGAAACGATATACACAAGGTCTTTGTTGCCTTGATATCCTTCTTCTAATTTCAGTACGTAAATGTAGCTCATCGATATATTACAAATCTAACTTGGGTAACATGTCAAAGTCTTTGCTCTGTTCCCTGTTTTACCCATCTGTTCAGAGAAAATTGCTTCCTGCTCTCCCTTACCTGCTGTTCTCCTGTTATGTGGCTTTAACATAAAGCACTGTTGCCTAAGATTAAGCACTAGAGAAAGCATCACGAAATACTTTCAGAATACGTCCCTATGAAAACAGCTGAGGACAGACTTGGTAAGACGTAGCACAATAAAATGTTTATAGCAAAGACCTTCCGACAATACAGACCAACTCCCATCCAGTTGCCCAATGGTATTTTATTTACTGTATACATTTTTTTCTGACAGGCATGGGTGTTCATATAGCAGAAGCCTGAGTGCTCAAGCACAACAGTGTACATTTCTAGGTCTTAAAGTTTAGATTACATGCAATTTTCTTATTAGTCACAGCCAAAGTGTCTCAAACATAATTAACCCAAAACGTGTCTAAATCAATCCAGATCCGTTCAAAATAATGAGTTCCCATCTCATCACAGAGCCTGCTAATCTATTCAAGCCTTCAATTTTATTCCTGAGAGAAAGATAATGCATGCAGATTCTTACAAAGTGGAATATAGTTGTTAGTTTTTGAAACCTTCTTCATATTATGATCTCATTTACTCTTGCAGCACAAACAAGGTTAGATTTAGGCATTGTATCAAAACTGGTGATTCACTAAATAGGCACCTTTCCTGACAGTCAGCACTGAGTCAACGTCCCAACAGTGGCTCCATAATGTGAAGCACATTCTCTCACACACTTCAAAATATAAATTAGAAAGGCTGTAAATGTTTTTAAATAAAGTTTTCTCACTTTAACACAGTTGCACAAAACTGACTGTAGCTGCTGACAATCAAAAAATTGTTGAAGTTTCAACCTCCTTCTACCGCTCAGAGAAAGGGGAGAAAAACCACTCAAAACCAGAATGGATGTTTGTATCTTCTTCTTTTATCAAGTGGGTTCTTTGTTAGACAAGTATGAGGTATTTGGGCCTTCAGCGTATTATTATAGGCTATCAAATTCAAGCCAAACTTGCATGTGTGTGCACACAGGCTGCAAAGAAAGAAAAAGTATTTTGACAGGTTGCCATGTAAGAGATGTTTTGCTTTGGAAAAGTTACTTCCAGGGAACTAAATGTGCTGGCAAAGGTTCACTTCCCAAGTCTTGCCACGCTGGTTTAATAGAAAGTGTGGTCACATCTGCCCTTCAGATGCAAAATAACCCTTTTGCTTTTTGATACTTTGCACACATTGGTTTGGCACATATTTATAATTCTTCATATGAAAAAAATCTTACTGAAGGCATAGGATGATGGACTCCCAAGAGGAAGGATCAATAAAACCACCATCAAAAATC